TATATATATATATATATACTAAACACGACAAATCAGTATGATGGCCGTCAGCTCTTGTCGTGTGAGTAACCAAGAATGGGCGGCTTTCGAACTATCTATAACATAGATATTAGGAATTATTTTTTAGCCTTTAAAACCCTTCGGCACATAGCTGACAGATATTTCAGGTTGCTCAAAATTCGGCTGGAGCAGTTGAGGTCGGGTTCGAAACACGGTATTCCCGGTCCACCTTAACCACAGAGCTATCTCCAACTGCCCAACCAGACTGGAATAGAGGCCAAGAATAAATAACCATAGTCATTGTAATTAGTGGGACCTCAAGGAATATCAAATTATCGGGCGGGACTTCAGCTTATTTCCTTGTTCGTACGACCTGTGTGGCATCGATCGTGGCAGTCGATTGATTGACCCACCCAACTGCGCACTGATGATGTCTCCTCGTATGGTGACGAAACGTTTGCAAGCCAGTTGCCAAGTTCGGCGAACAGATCAACAGCCACCTGATCAACAACCAACAAATTTGGGTTATTAATACGCTGCAGTTGCGCTACTTTCCCTTGAAACGTCCATTTCGGAAAGCATTAATTGTTCCCCCTGACGGGTTCGCTGAAGTTAATCGCAAAGTAAGAAACCTTACACCATGAGGACTGTCATTTCAGCCGAGACGGTTCTAATTCGGGAAGTGTTGTAGTGTGATTTATCGACCAATCAGATACCGGGTGATAGACCTCCGAGCCAGATAGACAAATCGTTCAGAGGCAACACGCGACTTATCAGAAGCCACATAGCGATTTGTGGAGTAAGGGTAATTCAGAGATGAAAACAGATGGCAGCAGTACGGTGTCTGTGCCAGAAGGGCGGACGTAATTAACTTGTCTTCTGGTTTCTAATTTCTACAATCGCAAACCGACATTCACCGAACGGTACCTATATCGATGAACACAAACGAGTAGCGAATGAGATATTAAAAAAAACTGGCCAAATGGCATGCTACTCGCTTCACAAGACTGTGCTTGAATGGAGAAACAGAACGAACCAGGAGGGTTTCAACAACATCGCTTTCGTAATATGACCTGTGGACCCTAAAGCGCGCTTGGCTCGTTGTAACCAATACGGAGAATAACCTCAGATCTGATACGAATCAATAGTTGACTAGACAAAACAGAAAGAACCGTTAAACAACACGCATTCACTTAAGCATGACTGTGTGTGAACGCCGCATTCCTCCGCTTAGCAAAACCCCCTGCCACATGATGTGCCTGTATACATAGAGTGGGTTGAATCTTCGACGGAATGTACAGTAAAGCATTATTCGACAGTTGCACTCACTACTAGCGACAGAAACAGCATGGTTATATGCCACTGTTTCAGTGCCTCGACATCAGGGCGGTTTAGTGAAAAAGCGAAAAAGTAATGCAGAGAACCCGCCTGTCGCCAGAATACCAAGCGAGAACTGTCTGGAGACCAAGGAGTCCCTGTGGAAGTGACTGATGAACAATGCTCATGGCCCAATCACGTTTAGCCGGTGATCCCCGAATTCACTTGTGCTGATAATTTATGTATGTGTAAATTTTGTTAGGCGGAGTTCCACACGGATCCTGCTTAACCGCTCGCACTCAGGTGCTGCTACGGCCGAGAAGTCCATCCCACGCGAGATTGGCCAGCAATTCGGGACGCTTGCCGGTCCGGCATCAAGACGACATCCGATTGGTCGAAAGTCTGGACCCAACAGCCAATCATGACCCAGTATTGGCCAAATGCCGGTTGCCAATGCCGCATCCAGAACGCGTCAGAAGTTCCAGAAAGTTATAACCGCTTACACTATATATATGAAGCGCTGTACAACTGTTCCTGACTTCGTTTGGGGCCCTAATATACCTTGTGTACCTTTGGTGGTTGTTTTTGACGTGAACGCTAGCTTGGGAAGCTCAAACCGAGAACTAAGCTGAG